GATAGTTTTTTTAAATGTGTATATATTAAATAGAGATAAAATTGAAAAGTTATTATATTTTAATAAAGAATTAATTTAGTTTAAGATTTTTCTTGTTCCATGTAAAACAAGTTAGAAGTGGCTTATCAATAGGATCAGAAGAGTGTAATCTTATTCCCTCCATTGTTATTTATAAGTTTCAAATTTAAAAAAAGATGTGATCTATTTTATAAACTTTACGTTAGATTTGCCTTAACATTTGATGTATTTTGTTGAATGTTGCCCTTAATCATTTATCTCTTATCACATTTTTTTCACACATTTTTTTAAATCTTTTTTCTCATTATAAGAACATAGTTGGAAACAAAAATCTATTTCTAACATATTTATGCTTTTAATTAATTGTTGGTTATTTGAAATTTATAATAAGTATTGAAGGGAGTACTTGTTAGCTTCTGATTATTCTTACAAAGGTTTGGTGGTTTGTTATCACAAATTTTTGCGATCCCTCGTTGGAGGTTTTTGCTTTTTTGGTGAATTGGAGATATTTAGCACTGATGATAATGGACAACGATATTTATGAATTTTTCGCGGGGGGACAATAGGATCCAAGGCGGAATGGTAGCAGGGTTGTGTTCAAACTTTGCGCGTTTCTGTTTCATAATGGAATCTGCACACTCATCATCTTTATGTGCGTCCGCTTATCGATGGTGAATAATCGATAAGCTAGCTCAGTGCGGCTTTATAGATTTGATGATTTGTCGACTTCAATCTTGTTAAATGAATAGATGATAAATTATTACTATCTTTAAAAAAGCATTTACAAATTATTTGTGATTTGAATTGGGATTTTAACTACTCTTTTCCTGTTATTTTCTTTAGCTTCGCCTGAAGGCTGAAGTTTACAAGACAAGATTTTGGGGTGACTAATGACTAACTGATGTTGAACCGTCGTCCGCTATGGAGAAACGGTAGGCGCCTGTTTATTGCTATTTCGTCATTTTGTCCGTTCATTATCGCTTCTACATACACGTTAGAGTGTTTGGCTGCTCCCATGATCCATCCCCGTGAGGCCCTGGTATTATGAACGCATGCACGGTCTGGAGCTCCAAAACTCGCGGCATCTCATTCTTTCACTCTCTGCTTACCTCTTATAATGGAAGCCAAAGTGAGAAGTGGCCGCTGGTTATCTTCCGGCAGCTTCTAGAGGCTAATGCGAATCCCAATGATCTCACTTTTTCGTTACTTATAAAAGCGTTTGCTTCATCGTTCTCTTCTGATACTTATACCTCTGCGGTTACGGAATTTGAAGTTAGCCAAGTTCAAACTCAATTAGTGAGGCGAGGCATCAACCGTTTGGTTTATGTAAATACTGCTCTTCTGGATTTCTATATGAAACTGGGGCTTGTAACTCATGCTCGCCAGTTGTTTGAAGATATGCCTTGTAGAGATGTTGTTTCGTGGAACGCATTGATTTGTGGATATTCACGGAACGAACATGGTTATCGTGCAGTGAGTTTCTTTGTACAAATGCTTAGAGAAGGTTTCCGACCTGACCATGCGACAATTGTTGGTTTGGCACCTGCTTGTGGTCGCTGTGAACTAATTCTTCAAGGAAGATCACTTCATGGGTTTGGAATTAAAGCTGGCCTTGGTTTTGATTGTCAATTGAAGAATGCCCTTTCCTCAATGTATGCTAAATGCGAGAATTTGGAAGCATCAGAACTTTTATTTGAAGAAATGTCTGAGAGAAGTCTTGTGTCTTGGAACTCTATGATTGGTGCCTATGGCCAAAATGGATTCTCGGAAAAGGCGATGATTTGCTTCAAAGAGATGCTAAGTGAGGGTGTGCAACCCGGTCCAGTGACAATGATGAACCTTCTGTCAGCGAATGCTGCTCCAGAGTCTATTCATTGTTACATCATTAAATGTGGAATGACCAATCATGCTTCTGTCATTACTTCGCTAGTTTGCTTATATGCAGGGCAAGGGCTCACGCATATGGCAGAACTTCTTTACAAACATTTGCCAACGAACAGCCTGATTTCCTTAACTGCAATCATGTCTAGCTATGCTGAGATAGGTGATATAAATTCAGTAGTTGGGTATTTTATCCAAACTCAGCAATTGGACATGAAACTGGATGCAGTTGCATTGCTTAGTGTCCTTCATGGCATTATAGATCCGCCCCATTTCGCTGTTGGACGTGCTTTCCATGCTTATGGATTAAAGACTGGGCTGACTACCGATGGTTTAGTCACTAATGGGCTAATAAGCCTGTATTCAAAATTTGATGAGATAGAAGCTGTTTACTGTTTGTTTCTTGAGATGAGCTATAAATCTTTGATCACTTGGAATTCTGTGATATCTGGCTGTGTGCATGCTGGAAAATCAAGTGATGCCATGGACTTCTTCTGTCAAATGAAGAAGTCTGGACAAAAACCTGATGCCATAACTATTTCTAGTTTACTATGCGGGTGTAGCCAGCTTGGGTACCTGAGAACTGGGGAGACGCTGCATAACCATGTCATAAGGAACAATGCGGAAATGGAAGATTTCACAGGAACTGCTCTAATAGACATGTATACCAAGTGTGGAAGGTTGGATTATGCTGAAAAGGTGTTCAATAGCATCGTTGATCCATGTTTGGCAACATGGAACTCAATTATCTCAGGTTATAGTTTATACGGAGTTGAATATAAAGCCTTCACCGCTTATGATGAGCTGCAAAAACAAGGGCTAAAACCTGATAAAATAACCTTTTTGGGAGTTTTAGCAGCATGCGCCCATGGGGGACTTGTCTGTGAAGGAACAGAGTACTTTCGGGCCATGATAGAAGAGCATGGCTTGATGCCAGATTTGCAACATTATGCTTGCGTGGTTGGTCTATTAAGTCGACCGGGATTGTTTCACGAAGCAATGGAATTTATTAACAATATGAAGATCCAACCTGACTCTGCTGTGTGGATATCATTGTTAAGTGCTTGTAGTATCCACCAAGAAATCAAACTTGGGGAATGCTTGGCGAATAAATTGTTTTTCATGGATCAAAGAAATGGTGGGTTTTACGTGTTAATGTCAAATCTTTATGCAACTGTAGGAAGGTGGGATGACGTGGCAAGGGTGAGGGATATGATGAGAGACAGTGGAGGAGGCGGATGCTCTGGAGTGAGTGTTATCGAAGTAACATCCATTGAGGACTTGAACAACAACCTGGGAATGAATGAAGTCTATTTGAATACAAATACTCTGCAGCCCTTTTGTCTATAACTAGCATGTACTTCCCGCGCGATGCACGGAAAAATGGTTAATATGAAGTTATTTTATTTTAATTGCAATTAAGAAAATAATTCATTGGTTTCAAGCCAAAAATTAATGTTAAAATAAAAACATCTTATGGATTCATTTCAATCAACATAATAATTTCTTCTTAGGGTTTAGGGTTAAACCCTAAATTTATGCACCCAGATTTCTAAATATTTTCTGATAAACAACATTAGTTATTTTCATTTGAATGAATAAGTATATTATTTGTAATGATATTAATATATTAATGTAAACTTTGCCATCACACATTCCTCATTTATTCCTTCACTATGGTCTGCTAAAAATACTAAAATTTTAAAATAGTGTTTATGGTGATATTTCTATCCCCATAAAAAAAAAATATGATTCAAATTTTAAATCTTGCAAAAAAATAATCACAGAAGTCTATATTTTTTAAATAAAAAAAAGAGTCTCAATAACTTAAAAGAAAAAACATCATCTCTTCTTGTCTACGTAAATATCACGTATAATGATCGAAGAAATGATACATATATATATATCAAAAAATTTAAATAAGTTTTACTAAATTACTAAAAATGTGGATCAAGTTTTATTTGTTTTGAATTAAAAAGAAAATCTACATTCATTCTCAGTCTAGGTTAATTTTTACAAGGCCACATTAAATCCTAATCTCTGTTCTTTCACTTGAAGATTTCATATTTCCACCCACAAGGATTTTAAGTCAAATAATCAAAACAATTTAACTTTCATATTCACATAGGTTGATTTCGAATTCATCAAATATCAAACTGTACAATATTAAAAGCAATTTATAACGCTTAACCCAGAAATCAAAAGCTCTTTAATATTCCTTTTTTTGACCAGCAAAAGCTCTTTAATATTAAAGAGTGATAGGGAATTGATTGTCATGGACATGCCAAAACAATATTAAAAACAATCGTTAGACAAGGCCATGTAAGCATATCTTTTTACTTCTTTATCACATTTCCCCTCCCAGCCACATATTTGGTGACCGCTCTCCCAACCCAAAAACATAAACCAGATTTTACTTAAAACTCTTATCCCATATTATTTTAACCATTTCTGGAAAACAATATCAACATTAGAAAACTGAGAACCAATCAAAATCAAATTTTTGTCTCAATAACTAATCAATAGTTCATCAATTTCAAAGGATACGACAGACAAAATTTCTTATACAAACCAGAAAAAAAGTTGAACACTGACGTTAGCTCACTTCCCTATGCCTTTAAGCTCTCTACTAAAGCTCACTTCCCCGTGTCATATCATTAAAACTCACTTCCCTGTGTCTTTATCAAAATTGAGCAACAATTACATGCCCCTGTTTTAAGCAAGCTCACTCAACATTTGAAGAGTCTTCATATTGTTTTATCATACCTTCAGCCCATGATAAAGTTGAAGATAAAACAATACATACCACAAAATTAGATGACGCAGAGGCAATGAAATCAATCTTTTGGTAAACCAACCTCTTATAGAGTTTTGTCTATATTCATAAATAACCCTCTTCTGCTTTAAATGATATGAGAGACAAAAACTTCCCCAATTTTGCATTCTACTTAATCAAACACTGCAAACCTTACTTGACATTAATTTATTAGCACCATTTCTCTCTCACTCTATCCCTAAGAAGTCAAGCACTGCTCTGTTTTGTCTTCTTTTAGGTCTGCTACTATTACTGTGCATGATCATATGGCTTTTTCTTCCTTGTAGAGATACAATATTTAACTCAATACCATATCAAGAACTAAATGCTTTTTTCTTCATGCTTTCACTGTCTCCTATAACCTGCAATTAAAACAGAATCTTTCATGCAAATGATATTAGGTTAGCCGAGCTTTAAGTCTTCAATACTATTAAAGGATGCACTCAAACATCATTAAATGCTTCAAATAACACTATCAGATACAGACAAAAACAGTAGCTATATCCAAAGTACATTAATTAACATTACCTTGCATATTGGCTGCAGAAACTACACCATCATGGAATGAAACTTCTCAAAAACAGATTTATAAAGTTGGACCAAATTTATTCCCATACCAGTTTACCTAGTGAAAAAAAAAAGAAAGAAAAATAAGAAAAATAAACATCAAGGCATACAAAAATAATAATTGCTACCAATGTAAAGCACCACTACTAAAGAGCTCGCCTGAAGTCACATCATTCATAAACCAGGAATTCTAACCCAAAATGACATAGTGAACAGCACCCTAACAAATAGTTTCATCATGGTACTTGGGAAGCCGTATTGAGTCAAGGTGTTGTAAGCAACAACATAACAACACACTAAAAAATAGTTTAATAAAGTTCCAATACAATGGCACAAACACATGCTTCTTTTTTCAATTATGTTGCTTCAAAACTTCATCAAACCACTTGTAACATTCAAGCAATTTCAGAAACATTCACACATCCATATACTTCAACTAAAACAGACAGTTAGACAAAAAAACCATACAAATCACATGAATATTCAACTATCCAGACATTCAAATGTTTGAAACAACACAACAATTGTGATTAATAATTACTGCATTCCCTCACGTTCCTTATTACATAAGAGACCACAATTTACCAACATTCCCTCACCATGCTTGATGGTTAATATACATTTCAAAAATAATAATCTGATTGAAATAGTTAAATCCTCTTTTAAATCATATATAAAAAATAATAAGACCAGAATCAACCCAGTTGAATGACATAGTGAACAACACACTAACAAATAGTTTCATCATGACACTCGGGGAGCCATATTGAGTCTAGGTGTTGTATGCAACAACATAACAACATACTAAAAAAACACATTAATAAAGTTCCAATACAGTAGCACAAACGTAGGCTTCTTTTTTCAATTATGCTTCTTTGAAATAGTTAAATCCTCTTTTAAATCATATATTAAAAAAATAAGACTAGAATCAACCTAGCTCAATGATATAGTTCATAAATTAGGAAAAGAGAAATCTGAATCAAAGAAAAAAAATGGAGAGTATAAATTTTCCCAACGTGCATTCCTCTCTTTTTTCATCATTGACAAACCAAACCTGGAGATTGATTAGAAAAGGCAATCGCGGGGACATTGTCTTGTCTCTTATTAATATACAAGAGAGTATTTTACAGCTCATAGCTAAAATCCAATCTGAATAATCAATCTTGAAAGAACCTGCATGAGAAGAAAAGAAAGTCTACAATATGTAAATGCACCTGTAAGAAGTTTTGGAGAAGAAAAGAAATCAAAACATGAAGCAAGCATGACCTTCTTGGATCCTTATGCTTTAGAAAATAGGAAAAGGAAGAAGAGGAGAGAACAGAAACAAAGAGAAGACGAGGAAACATGGGTATAGATGGAGAAAAATAAGAACACAAATCGTGAAGGAAGCCTAACCAGATGCCTATCCCATTGCGCTTCACGAACTTCACAATAGCCGCGCAACGAACCTTCCTTTGATTCCCATCGATCACAAATCGATATAGCTTAGATTTCCTGCAACAACAAAAAAAAAATTTCAGCAGAGGGAAAGCCGAAGAAGATGAAGAGAAAGAGAGGGAGGATAGAGATGCTCAGCTGAATGCATAAAGGAGCACTAATTGTGCTTGAAGATGAATGCTCTGGAGAAGAAAAATCCAGAGAGAGAGGGAGAGAGAAAGGGGGTAGGAAGCAGAAATTGATGAATGCTTGAGGGAGGGCGAGGGAGACAAGATATAGCAAGGAGCAACGTTTGAGTTTGTAAAATAAAAAATGCAAAAATAATTAATATATTTCAAAATTCAAATTTTAAATTTCAAATTTTATTTGTATCTCACAAACCAGGCCATCAATTATTCAGGTTGAACAACACGGAACCCAAAAATTATCTTCCCAAGCCACAAACACATCATAAATGCTTGTACTTGGCTTGATAGCAGCCCGAAAATTATGTTTATTTAATTAACGTGGCTTGTGAACAGTGAATTGTGTCAAGAGCCACAGATAAGCCGTTTGAAGATATGGCTTGGTGGAAGAGTATTATAAGATACATTGATACTAATAGGAGAATGACATTTGCATCCATTTTTGTCCCTACTTATAAAACAGTTAGTTTTCGTCAATTTCAAAAGGGTCATTTATTTTAAGGGATTAATAATTCCTTTACAAAGAATCTAAATGTTACACTCTCAATGTTAACTACGATAAATTGCGTTAATCGCCAAATCTTTTACCCATGCAAATGTTTTTTTTCCCCTTCACTTTGTCAATTGAAAAAAAAAAGAAGGTAAGACTAGGAGACATTATTTTCACGATAAGATAAGGTATTCGGTAAACGTTTCATAAATGTTAACAAAACGATTGAACTGTTATGTGTTTTAAGCCTTTAAGGTGTTTGTCTGTGGGTTTCAGAAGTCTCTGCATGGGAACACGTATGGCATTGAGGCCACGGAAGAAACGAAACTAGAAAGAGCTGTGGAAAAGAAGTTGGCTAGGATTCCGGTGTATCCGGGAAAACGCAGAAGATAGCTTCTTGAAGAGGTCGAGTTCCTAGATGTCGATTAGGGCAACCCAAGGCCTGAGGAAACAGTTAGGTGCATTGGACGGCGATCCTAGCATTCAGGTTTCTGTTGGAATACGCGGAAAAGGATCTTGCGTGAATCTTTGGTAATGGACATCAAAACAATAGTTCTTCAGTCAATATTTACTTATAATTTATTCACTAGGCAAATTTCACGTCTGTTTTCAAAACTATTGAATATTATCAAGATATCCTGCCTCTTTTAAGACATCAAGAATAAATCTTGATACTCAGGATTAACGGTGAATGAAGCTTTCTTATTATACACTTGTACTTGCTAAAGTAACCACTGGAAAGGGGGGAAAAAAACTTTTATTCGATTAAATCTGACGAAGCTTTACAAAAGCATCAATATAACATAAGCCTATATACAATACAGAATCATCCTATTCTCGCTGTTCCTACCAAGGATGATAATTTTATATCAGAGTACCAACCAAACATGATCTTTTCAGTAAGACAAAGTATAATCTAATCAATCATACATACAACAATGACTAACATGTACTGGTTCTTTACAAATTTGAGGTTCCTGCCATCCTGGTCTATGATCTTCAAAAGGATGAGGAGTAAGACAGCCACATCATTACATGGCATGCGATATCTACTGAGGAAAACTAGGACTTCGTTGATTTTCTTCTGGCAAAGAACATTAAAACACGTGGGAATAATGACCTCTTTTTCTTCTTACCATTCTTTTTTTCTGGGGCCGGTCCATTATCAGTGTTGTTTTCATGTACATTAGCCTTTGAACTAGACATATAATGCACAGGACTACCTTCCTTTGGAGCTTCTTCATGGAGATTTACTTCCCTAGTTCTCTCAGAACTGACCGTAGGGCTTTGATTTTGGCTTATCACTCCTTGGTCAGACTCACCGGTCTTTCTTCGTTGTTCATGTTCAGCCCTCCACTTTCTTAATTCTTGTTCTATAGCTAATTTTCCTTCTGTTGCTTTTTCAGCTTTATCCATTGCCACCTTCAGAGATTCCTTTATGGCAGACATCTCTTGATTCACTTCTTCCAATCTCTCCAAGGTTTTCAATTCAGAATCCTTAGCCATCTCAATATCAGAATTAACAACTATAACCCTCAAATTGGCTTGCTCTTCTGCCTCGTGGGCGCGTTTGCTGAGTTCATAGTATTCCTCTAAAGAAAGTGTCACCCCATTGGAAGGGTCTGCATCAAGGTTTCTTCTAGCTGATTCACTCTCTTGCAATGCTTTGATTGTTGCTATCGCCAACTTCTCAGAAGCTCTGGCTGCTTCGATCTCCTTTTGAGTTGCAAGTAATTTGCTTTCCATTGTGATTGCTGCAGCCTTGGCTTGCTCGGCTTCATCCTTTACTTTTCGGAGCTCTTCACGGGCTGCTTGAGCAAATAAGTTGATCTGATCAGCATCTTCAGCTGCTTGTTGTAGTTTTTTAGGTAGCTCAACCATTTTTTCTTTAGCCTCTTTCTCCTTCATTTGCATTTCAGCTATTTCAGATCTAGTCTTCTCTAGTTCTGCTTCAAGTGAAGCAACAGTAATGGATGCCATTCCCTCCCTCTGCCTTATGGTGGCAAGAGTCGATTTCTGTTGTTCAAGTTCTGCTTTTAACGATGCCTCAGCCACCTTCAAGCAATTAACCTCGTGATTTCGTTCGTCCAAGTCGATCTTTACTTTCTCAAGTTCCTTTCCAGCTGATGCCACAATTGCCACTATTTCAATATGTGTTTTCTTCTCTAGTTCCTCTGGTTCTATTTTTGAAACTCCTTCAACATCATCTTCTTGCTTCAATTTTGATTCCATATAAACAGCTAATCCAGCTTTTAGCTCAAGAAGCACGGCAGAGGCTGTGTCTACTTTAGACTTGAGGTCCTTTGTTAATAAAATATGCTGGCTTAGTTTCTGGAGCTCTTCTTCTATTTGTCTAAGTTCCTTCTCCCAGTTGTGAGAATCTTGATCGCTAGCCATGATTGTTCCGATTCTTTTTTCCTCCGCTTCCAAGTGTGCAGAATGTGTCGACTCGAATGACTCTTTCGCAGCAATTAATTCAATGGTCAATTCTTCCACTGTCTTCTCCACTTCTTTTGATGCAAGTACAACCTCTTCAGCTTTCTTAACTGCTACGTCTTTATCAATCTCTAAGGAAGCATATTCCTTGCGCAATCCTTCCAACTCTTCTCTCACAAACATAAGTTCAGAAATAGCTGCTGAGAACCTGGCTTTAGCAACTTCAAGTTGTGCTTTGGCTGCGACGCTAGCTTCATCTGCAATACCCTGTTCCATTTCTTCAACCCTAAGCTTCGCAAGCTCTGAGTCCTGTCTTGCCTGGCGCTCTTCTGTTTGTGCCCTCTCTAAGTTTAGTTTTAGTTCCTCAATTAATCTTTTAGTGCTATCCAACTCCTTTAGTACTTGAATTTTTGCCTGTTCAGCAGCCTCAAATTGTGTTCTGTACCCCGGGATCTCCTCCTGTGCTTTCTGGAGTTCTTGTTCTACATGTTGGCGTCTCTGTACAACCACATAAAAAGTTACCTTTTTAGACAAAGCGATCATGAGTATCCATAATTTACCTTATGCAAGGCACAAAGCAAAGAAAATGAAGAACACTTGTCATATTACTCCAATTTGCTTGCTGATGAAATTTATTCTAGCATAAAGCACCATAAATATACATATTTAAACTCCATTTCTTGCGTCGATTTTGCACAAGATTATCTGATAAACAATACTTCCTCTTCCAGCGAAGGCAAACAGTTTGCCCTATGACATTATGACCTGGGCCAAATGGGAGGAAGTTAAACATGCCCCAAAACAACATTACAACAACTATCGAGGCTATAACTATTTTTTTCGTATCTCTCTCCGTCATATAGATTCTTTTGGAAGCAACCAAAGTGGCCAAAAGATTTCTTTCCTTGTGAAGATCCAAGAACATTAAAATTTAAACAAAGAGATAAAATAAGGTAACCTGAAAATGAGAATGGTGATAGTAAAACATGAAAAATAATACAAGACATCCTTACTTCCACTGTTTGGTTTCTATGAGCCTTCCAATCCACAATTCCTCCAAATTTGGAAACAGCTGCCTTGACAGATTCAATTGGAGCTGCTGTGTCAATATGGCCAACCTGCTTAGCATGTGTAGGAGTGTCGTCCATTCCCAAGACATCAGTACCAGCATTCACAACCTGTTCTTCTGGTGGATTTATCTTTTGCTTGTTGAGATCATCTTGCAAATCTCTTACACCAGTAGAGGAAACTGATATTGTAAGGTCATCTTGATCATTTGTGTCGCCCGTTCCGAGGACTTCAACGGCAAAACTGGCAACTTGTTTATCCGGTGAATTGATGCTTAGTTCATTGTGATCGTTCTCCAAATCTTTTAATTCTAAATAGGAAGATGATGGTATATTTTCATTATGATCATCAATGTGGATCGTTCCCAATACTTCAGTTTTAGCACTGGCAACATTTACTTGAGGTGGATCAGCCTTTTGTTCATTGTGATCATTTTGCAAATCCTTTGCTTCTGAAGAGGAAAAAGATTGCACAATCTTATTATGATCATCAGTCTGAACTATTTCCAAGACTTGAACAGCGGAACCACTAGCCTGTGTTTGAGGAGAATCAAACTCTGGTTCATCGAGGTCATTTTGAAAATCTATTGTCTCAAAAGAGTAAGCTGGAAAGATAGTCTCATTGTGATCTTCATTGTCGACCACGACCTTTTCTTCATTGTTGACACTCTGCAAATCTTTTGTTTCATGATAGGAAGCTGATATAATTTGATTATGATCATCAATACTATAAGTGGCAGTACAACTGCCATCTGGCATTTGTTGCCCATTCGAGATACTGTCTTTAGCTGCTGGTCCAGTATTTTCAATAACATTTTCCTGATTGCTTCTCTCTTTCACATCATCCATAGTATTTGAGGTTGAAGTTGAATTAACTATGGGAGAAAATCCATGTTGCCCTGCAATTTGACCATCCAAAGCATATGGTGATCCTGTAAATTCGGTCTCGGTCAAATTTGGGGTAGATTTCACTTTTCCATTGCTGAGTTGATTGGTTGGAGCTTCCATATAAGCATAAATGTCCGGCGGATTCAGCACTTCAGAAGTCTCTTTAGCGCGTTCTGTCATTGGCTTCTCCTCAGTCCACTTTGAAAATGATTCCGAGAGAGGCGCCTTCATTTCAATACACTCCATTGGTGTAAACTTGTTGGGAGAACCAAAGAGGTCTCTGAGATCAAGTGATAAACAAAAATGTAAAGCCAAGATATTAAATTATCACAATCTCAAGATTGAGAATGTAAAATGTCAAAATTAAGAGGGATGCTAATTCCCCTAACAAAAAGTATCGAACATTTAAGTGGATTTGAAGCCTCTCATCCATATCCATACTCCACCCGAGTCTTACAACATGAGTAAGCCTGGCTAAATAATGAAATTTCAATTCATTAAAAGTTTTCCTTTCATCATTTCTGTTAGGAAATCTGACAAGGCTTGTATAATGACAATGGAACAAGGTTTCTTCATGAGTTTGTTAGGCTGAACTGCAATTAAATGCACATATAACAAAGGAAATGTACGTTTTATCATCTCAAATCCAAATTAATGAAATCAAATATACAATCATGAATAAAACGTAATTTGAGATACAGATAGGGACAATGATAATTTGTATAAATAGAGTGCAAATGAGAATAAATACCATTTGTGTATGCTCATGTTCGTATCTGCACTTGCTAAACTTTAAAAGAAAACATATCGGTTTCCACCTGTTAACCATATGGAGTAACGTCTAGAATATACTTATGCATAGGATGGATCTTTAAGTCATGTAGAACAAAGCCTTGTCAATCTGAAACTGGGAGGATGAAAGATTGAAATTTTTTTTCTAATACGTCTCTTCAGGAAGAAAAGAAAGTCGATATAGAAAAGCAAAACTAATGAAGCGGAAACTAGCAGCAACAGAAAAGAAGAATAAGATTGATGAAGAAGAAGAAGAAAAGAGAAGCCTACCCAGGATCAGCATGAATGAAAAAAGAGTATTGATATTCACGGAAGAATCATAATGGGTGAAAACAGAGAGGAGAAACGTAGTGAAATGAAAATAAGAAAATTAAAATTAGGTCCTTCAAAAATAAAGAAAGGTGGGAAAGTGGCAACTAAATTTAGAAGAGCGGGAAAGGCGGGAAGGGTGCACAGTTAGTGGAGCGTACCCTCATCAAACGGACTATCAATCTATGCCTTCTCTCTCTTCCCCTTTTCCTTCCACTTCGACCTCCCATTTTTCATATCAACATTCAACACTTGTTCTGTTTTCATGGGATCCCTCCGCAACAACAGCTTTTGTGTTTACACCGGCCCAAAAATCTCATGGCCAACAACACCTCTCTTTGAAACCCTTCGTTACATTAACACAACATAATTGTAACTAGACGCACTAGCTAGACATGTTTTGTACGAAACTGACAAATAATTCACATCATGATAAATAGTACACTTTTATGCAGCCGGTATGTTTCATATTGAAGGATAATGTTCTCCGGTTTTCGTTCTCAGTCAATTTATCACTCTCACTTGATAAATTGAGGCGTGAAACGGCACGCTAATATATTATAATATGTTACACAATCTTATCATCCCAACCGAAGCGCTTGTAGCTCAGTGGATAGAGCGTCTGTTTCCTAAGCAGAAGGTCGTAGGTTCGACCCCTACCTGGCGCGTTTTTCGGTTTTTACACCAAATTTATGACGGTAAAATAAACACTACTCCCTCCGTTCCTTATTATAAGAGACATTTGATGCTTATGGCATGTTCCTATATATAAGAGACACTTAAAAGTTGTCTATACTTTTTTGTGTTGATTTCCTATTTTACCCATATTTATTGTCTCCAACTCACACTCTCTCTCCATCCTACTTCTCTTTCTTTTAATAATTTAATTATTCTATCTCATGCTCTCTCTCCTTATTAATGAGGGCATTTTTGAAAAAAAATTATATTTTTTACACATTGATTGTTCTTAACTAATTTTAACTACTTTTTTTATCAACGTAATTCGGTTATTTGTCTCTTATAATAAGGAACGGAGGGAGTAATTTCCTAGCGGCCACAGGCCCTAGTTTAGGGGTGAACAAAACTGAACCGTAACCGAAAATCGAACCGAACCAAATTTAATTTCAATTTTTCGGTTTGGTTATTTTAGTTTTCAGTTATATATTCGGTTTTTATTTTTGTAATAATTCGGTTTCAGTGTTCGGTTCGGTTAGTTAAAAAAATTTCGGTTATAACCGAAAAACCAAAATAAATATATTATATATTTATATTTAATGAATATTATTATAATAAATATATATGTAGGTTTATATGAACTCTTTAAATATATTTATATTTGATAAATATGGTTATAATAAATATTATTATAATGAATCCCATTAAATGATGACATATTTAATAATTAATGGTTGTAATTGTGTTTTATTATTATTAATAATTTAAAATCACTTTCATATTTATATATTTCGGTTAATCGAATCGAAATATTTCAGTTAATTCTGTTTCGGTTAGTTTGGTTATCGGTTTCGGTTCGGTGTTTAAAATTTGCTCTATTCGGTTATTCGGTTAATTCGGTTATTACCAATAACCGAACCGAAAAACCGAATACTCACCCCTTCCCCAGCTTGTCACGTAAAGAAAAATATCAAAGCAGCAAATTTCAGCACTGCTTCTACTTATTTCCAAAGACTGAGACTTAAAAATTTATTAAAAAGATCTAATGAAATAGGTGGTTCGACATACTTATCCTCCCAAATTAATTAGATAAATATAAATTTGAATGAATGATTTGATTTCGTGTAAAGATATGAACATTAATTCCTTTGGCATGTATAGATAGGTGGGTTTAAATAGCAGCAGAAACTTATTAATTCCTCATATATTTATATAATGCTGCTGTGGGGGGATTACATAAATAATAATTGAGCTAAAGATCCCAAATATTGGCGAGGCATCAGGAGTGTGACATCAGTGACACTTACGAAATAACAATATAATATCGAATGAATCGGCTGAAGCCGAACACAACCTAGCTATATACTTCAAACTCAGAGAGCACTATTAAACCAATGGTGTGCAATAGTAGTATATAGATAAGAATATAATTTAACAGCTTGTCATGGAAGCCAAGGAAAACAGTTTACTACGGGTATCAAATCCTTGTTATTTGAGAATATAGTTTCGTCCGAGTCACTTTTTGTCCCCAAAAAAATACTAATTTTTTATCTTTAAATATTCCTTGCCTTTTTATTCATTAGCTAACAACCCTCTTGCCATCGTAATGAGAGCAACTTAGTCATCAAAGAGGCAAAGATTAACGTAACCAGCACAAATCAATACATACATATTTCACAGAGAAGACTTGAAAATTTTGGTATATTTTCTTATGTGATTTTCTAATTAATAAATAAGATATATAAATGTAGTACACGAGAAAAAATGAATATGGTGTTAAAATAAGTTATGAACAAGAAAATGCACATTAATATTTTACAGCTGACTTTCAATTATTTTGAGTCCGTTTTTTAATTGTACCAGATTAGTGGAGGAACTATTTTCTGTTTTACGGGGCATATATTTAGTATATATATAACAAATTAGGAAAACATGACACTCCGGTTTTCCCTGGGATATATCCTTCTCTTTAATTTCCTTTTTTCAATTATGAAACATTCGTTCAAATTTTTATGGTCTTTTTGTTTTTACATGCAATGTCGTGAAGATTACGGAGCATATTTAAGCATCATTTTCTTCTTTTGTCATATTTAAGCATCATGTTTTTTTACCTTTGAGCAAATAAATATGAGTCATTTAATCAAGGAGGGCTATAATTCTATTATATTGATTAGTTAGAACATATAGAAGAGAACACACACGTGTGATTTAGAATTAAGAGGATGAGGAATCTTCAAAATTCATATTTATATATATATAAGAGTCGAGCTGGTGTAAAAAAAAAACATGTACCTATAAAACTTGAATGCGCATATCAGTTGAGTTATAAATAAGAAGAAACTTATAATTTATCGCACTATGTTAATTTTGTAATCTAATTAGTGCAAAAAATACATTCACCTATAAATCTAGGATACACTAGTTGAGCTTTAAATTTTCAAAGTGAGACTTATAAATTTGAGAAGAATATTTATCAATTATCACACATAAACTTATGAGTAGCATGTTAAACCAGTTGAGTTGTAAATTTCTAGAGAATTTATAAATCTTAAAAGTTAACTTGTAAAAGTAATTGATTAAAATGATATTTTGTATTTTTGCCAACGATATTTTGAAATAATATTAACCCTTTGACATTTATTTATAATTTTTTGAGCTTATTGACACTATTTTTTATAAGGTATTTATTTATAAATTTTGGGATTTCCCCCTAACTTTTCAGTTAAGTAATCGTCAAAATAACGGACGCTTAATAGAAGAAATGTTGCCTTTTAATAATACTTCACAGGCCCCATTATACCCATTGATATTTGACTAATCTAGGAAATAAATGAAAAACTCCTGCGGTTTTTTTAAGAGAAACTCCGCAATTTTTAAGTGAAACCTCAAGTGAGAGTTAATTTTGCTATCATGCCAGAAATTAAGTTCAATGGGTTTAATATTCCACTTCCTCGCTAATCTTTGTTGCTTTTTGGACGAGTGAGCGAGATTCGTTAAACAAGTGGCATTGATCCTCGAAACCAAGTAAATTTGTCGTTAAAGGGGGGCATCTGGGGGAGATCGGGAATGAGAAGAGAATGATGAGTTTTATATTGTACTCCTATATTCTTCTCGGATAAGTCTTTAGATTATTCCCATCCACGTGTAATTGTATGTGTACATATATGCTTGTATATGCATGCATGGTATATACAGAGAAAAGGAGGACGATCAACTGGAACTTTCATTATATACTCAACCAAAACACTGTAGCGGGACGCGCGCACACGCTACCCAACACAACAACGAAGCATATATCCATTTTGGAAACTGGTGGGTAGGGTAAGATCCGCGGCCCACGCCCGCCAGCCAGGCCCGAGCTGGGGATATATATGTGTGTGTGTGGGTGGGTGTGTAAGCCTGCTATAGCGATCAGGGAGGGAAAGGCAGAGATAGATATATAGAAGGGAAATAAGGGAAAGAGGGGTGTG